GAAAAATTTTGGCGCACAAAAACGTATTTCGATTGTGCTACAAAAACATTAATTTCACCTGCAATCAAACGGAAGACACTTGGCAAAAGCATAAGGAAACAAGAAAATATGTTAACTTCTGTTGCACCGCAGCTATAATACCCTTCACAAATACGAAGGTTCTTTACACGAACTTGAACTCTAAACGCACTGCTCTGCGTTATAATTAACATAATAATTATATTTTTTTTTGTCTTCACATAAAAAAGCATATAATTCACGCACTGTTAAGTAAAGGAGTTCAACTATGCTGAAAACAACAGAACAACGTAATAAAATCTGCAGGTACAATGACCTCTGCGGTGTATGCTCTTACTGGAAAGAACAGAAGCAATGGAAACTGATGATGATGCGCTTTATAAGCTCATTCGACTTTTTAGCTTTGGAAAGCTTTTAAGGCATTGCAGAACAAGCTCCAGCTCCAAAAAAAACAAACAAAAAACCACAAAAAAAAAACGAATTACCACACGTAACGCTACTTGGCCAAAGCAACTCGTTGCTTGTTGGCGTTTTGCAGTGGACAGTTGCCAATGTATTTACAATGTAGTAATTACGAACAATACAACAGATTTTTCTCTACTTCTTTCTACGTCACTGAAGCATGGATAAATTTTGAATGAAGCCTTTAAAGCAAACGAAACTTTTTGCGCTCAGAAATCGTGAACATGCGCAACACACTGCAAACGCTCATGAACTTGACATTCACTGCAATGACTTGAACAATGGAAGAGGCTGACGTGAACACCAAATCAGCGAACCGACAAAAAATAACAAGCCAAAGAAGATCACCAGCGGCTGGCAGACACACAACATGTACAAAAAAACAAAAAAAAAAATTTTATAAAATAAAAAAATAAAAATAAAAATACAAATAGAAAAAATTAAAAAAAAAAAAAACAAAAGGAAACACCTGACAGTCGAGACAATGGCAAAGCAACAGGCGCAACGTAAACTTACTCAAATGCAACGGTGACTGTAAGAGTGGCTATTTGATTACAATGAAATGAAATCTTCACACAACATTCAACTGCAATGCGCATTCGCTCGTTGAATGAGCTTAAATTGCTACACAACTTTGTTGTTGCTTACTAATAATAATATTACACATTCGTGACGTCTATGGCTTATCGAGGCAGACATAAGCGTTGCATGAGCAGACGATTAGAGGTCATGGCGGCGTTGCAGCAATAATCAACCATTAAGCGTAGATTCAGTTTTCACTTCGTATGCTTTATCCCTACTCTTTTATTTGAGTACTTGCACGAGGGGTAGATCATCAATGTCACTTGCTAAGTGTTATAAGTTCTAAATATATTTTGTTTTTTCATTTGCTATTTGCAGTAAAATGGGATTCATGGGGAGCTAACGACATAGAGCGAAGCGATGTCGCTTTAGAAGGAGGAGCGGATTCAGTTCTTGCACAAGCTGTATTTTGTACGCTTTCAATTTAAGATCTCGACGTAAAATGCGCCAAGTCATTCCATATGTCAGTCTGAGTAGCTGCGAACGGCGTCGAATTGACTCTCCACGGTCTTCGTGTACACTCTCAGTTACGGCCGCTATATTTTCCCCACTACGTGCTGGACGTGGTCTATTCGGACGAATATTAACCACATAATGAATGCTGGGTCTCAAGATGGGTGATGGTGTTGCGAACAGTGCGCTCAGTAGACCGATTATTCTGACCATAAGTTGAGCTAAGCGCGCGAAACATATTCTTTACAAAACGTGAATTTTCGTAATAAAATTGAACGATTTGTAAACATTGTTCAAGCTTAAGACATTCCATGATGAAATGCCAAACAATACTGAACCAAAAAAACCTGACAGCTTGATATGACTAATGCTTGATTTGTCAAAAAAAAAAGATTATTGGAAAAGTACTTCTACTTGGATAACCCGTTATAATCATGACTTGTTAATCTTCACGCCTGTTACATTTTCTAATAGGTTTAAACCTTGCGGATCGCTTTTGTAGTTGCTTTGCGACCATTTCACACACAACTCCTAAATGATCTTATATTACCAGTGAGCCTTTCAAGCAGCGTTCTGAATAATGGGAGTTCACTTTAAGAGCGTTAAACAAAAGAGAGTGCAATAACCCGCGTCAGTGATAAATAAAACTAGCATAAACTGTAATCAAGCTATGATTATGTGTTTAGACATTCAAAATTCAGCGTTTTTTGTGCATTTTCTCTTCTGAAAAGTTAAACATTCGCGTACTAATAAAATTTTGGTTAGTTTTACTAGTAATTTGACACAAAATTGTCTTTATTAGTAGGCGATTTCTTAAAGGGTACCCCCATATTGATGAAATTTTTATAATTTTTACCAACTACGTAGAAGTTTAAGCTTAACGTTTGGGCAGTTTATATGCGGTCAGACAGTCATTAGAGCATATGGTGGTCGCAGAGAGAAATATCAGTTTCATGTTTGAGCCCTTAAAAATTATACAGCACATTGGACTTTATGCAACTTAATTTTATTTATTTATTTTATTTTTTTTTTTGCGGTCTACGTCATAGTTGACCGCTGGCATCCGATTCCGCTCGTATTTCAATTGCGCTAAATGTTTTGTCGCCATTTACGTAGGTTTTATTAACAGGTTTCTAATTGCATACGTGGATATGTATTTCGTAATACATTTTCTCAGTCAAGTGTGGCCAGATACTAAGGAAAATCATTTTGTAAACATTTTTTGTCGTTTTAAAGCTTAGTTATTTGATTTTTTTTAAATTTAAATTGATGTAAAAAAACAACAAAAAATATGTACATGCAATCGTCCCAATAACGCCATTTATAGGACAAAATTTAAAAAAAAAATCAAGTATATTTTCTTATCTTTTTAAATATATTTCTTATCCACACAGTTTAAAATCCAAACGTAACATTTTTAAATCTTTAGAAGTCTTAATATTTAAAAGAGTTACAGATATTTCGTATTCGGTTTAGTAACTGGCGATATGTAATCTGTTACCTCTTCAAAAAGCTTTTAAGATTTACAACTATGTACATATACAAGACACTTATATATTTACTGAACATTTTAAAGCGACTTATATTCTTAGGTTCTTATGGATTAATGGGTAAGAGGAAGCGCAATAATGCTCACCAGCAGAGCTCAGGTGTCAGTAAAGTGCAACTTAGCTAAGCTCATTGAAAAGCATTTATGTAGTCAGTAGCTTGTGTTTACCCTGAACGAAGCGAAACAGAGATGGCAGAACAGAAAAATCTGACGGATTTATTTGATTTTCTATAAGAGACCTGATGCTCTTTTGTTTTTTTTTAAGCGAGGCAAGTAATAAACGATTGTATCATAAAATCTCACTTTTCAACTTTCATTTTGCACGCACTTCTCGCACTTACTATGTACTTACATATATTTCTGAATTTTTCAAAGCCATAACAATGTCAGTATATGGTAATTGCTAGCTATATTTGACCTTCATTGGAACACCAAAGCTAGCGAAATCGAAAGTGAATTTCAGCAAATATACCAGTCTGTATGGTGCGTACTCGTATGTACAGTAGATGTCTACGCATAGTGGAACAAATAGATTGAACAGATTTATATTTACTGGTGTAAGCTGGATATTTAAAATAATAATAATAAATGTAACGGATTTGCGTAAAACAGTCTTTTGATGCGGCACAGTGAAATATGAGCCAAAGAAAAGCCAGACAATGTGTGCAAGACTGGATGGATGGTCGTATATGAACAACGAAATTTATATTAAAAAAAAAAAATTATACACTGAGAGAATAAAATCAGTAATTGAACTTATGGAACACATATTGAACTAAAAAAGGAGAATTACGCTATATTTTAAGAAACATAACTACTACAAAGGCTGCTCAAATTCCAGTAATCGGAACCAACTTTATTTAATTTATTAACAAATTTTTAGGTAATCGAATTCATATTTTTTTAAAATTAAGCTGTGTGTGGAATTCTTCGCATCGCTTTCGTTGTAATATTTTAAGCTAATTTTAATACGGAAACGTAGGTTCGCCTATAACTTGCGGTTTTCACGGCCTTCGACTTCTACGGACTTTTTTTGATAATTTGAACGACACGGACTTTGCCTAGGACCCTTAGTTGGATTTGGTTAAACCCTGGCCTTGTTACCAAGGTATTCTAGGTTCCGTTAAAATGATGACACTGTTCAGAGTAAGTTCTTCTCCGGTCGTCATTAAGTAAGTATGGTAGTTGAACTGCCTCCTATTTTACGCTGGTCGACTGACAGAAAATACTGTCTCATAATGGCAACCCAAAAATGTAAACTCACAATGCGTTTACAAGTGTACTGGCTTCTGTAGGCTTAAGCAATCTAGTTGTAAACAGGAGATTTTGTCAAAGAGAAAATTCTGTATTTATATTACCTAGGCGATGTGTTCACATGTACAAATAAGTATCAAAGCAGGGTTGCGAACGTGGATATTAAATGAATACATTTTTGATACCGAGTCTTCAAACGATAGTAGCGGGAAATAACTAAAGTTAGCTTTATAGCTGAATCGAAGTCAATAGAAAATAATGCTTAGTCATCGTTTATCTTTCCAAAATACTTAAAGCCCCTAACTTGCCTGCCGTTACCCTGCTGTGAAAAATGAAATAATGCCGCAGCAATTAAATGTTTTTTAACAGTGCAATGGTCCACTCGAACCATGAGTGAGTGCAATCACTTTGGAGCCAACTACAATGCTCCGTGAGCAATGAACGAAATTTGATCTTGTGAAATGGAGCAATACACCACAACAAACTGCAGGAAAACAACAACAAAATAAGCAAAATATACATGCAAATGCGCGCCACATCAACAACAATGCGTGCAATATTAGACGTTGGACAACGTTTGGCGGCGATGAACCGCTAAAGAAAGTATTGCAATATCATGTGGAAGGGAGAATGTGGCTGACGCTGGAGAAATGCACACAAATAAAAGTAACCGCGAGCGTTGCGAAATTGTCATTAGTAATAGACGATTGTGCAAATGCGGACGGAAGGATAACAAATGCATGCGAGCAAGCCTGCAAGCCTCACGCTTTGGCATAAATAAAAAAAAAACATAACAAGGATAAAAATAACAGTAGTGTTGAGTGAAGATTTTTAGGCATAAGTGAGTGTGTTGTGTAATTCTTGTAGACGGCTAGCGCTGTGGTAGCATGCCCGACTGTTACGCGTGGCTGGCCGCGGTGTGCGTTTTGTGTGTGCTGAATGTGGGCTGGTGCCGCGCAGCCGATGACGATGAACAGTGAGTATGACTAAAGAGAATTACTACACTATTTAATTTTGCATAACGTTGCTTCAATACTTTATTATTATTATTTATTTATTTTTATTCTCATTTGCGGCTTATAGTGTGCACATCAAAGTGCGAATGCCGGAGGTGGCGCGCAAGCATAAATCACACAAACCCTCGCAACATAACCACCACAAGTACCACCACTTGCCACATCACTATTACCATAACCTACACAAGCCGTATTACCAACCGCAACTACACGCCCAGTATCCAAATCAAGCAGCAAAACACGGCCGAAGAGCCGTAAGACCAACTCCATCAACTCCACCAATAATGTCACACAATCACCACGAAATGGGTGCCTACGGCGATGAGTTGACTGCCGGCGGCATATCTGAGCACTTGTTGTATACACCGGGAGCTTTCGATTTGAATCCCAACTATGGCCCGGCGCTATTTGGCAGCGGCGGTGGCGAGGGTAGCAATAGTGCAAACATGCAACAAGACGGTATGTTAACTATGCCGGACGAAACGCAACAGCTCGTACAACATATGGAACTTATGAGCGCTTTGGCAGCAGCAGCGGCGGCAGCGGCAGCAACAGCAGGCACAAGCCGTGAGGAAGAAGATGAAAACAGCGATAGCGGTGCTACTGAGACAAACACATCGTTGTCGGATGACTTTTTAGCCGATCTGCAACGTACTTACGCAAACGGTAAATATCCGACGACAAGTTTACGACGCAAGAAGAAATACCGTGGAGCAGGGCTGTCGGAAATAGGAGATGCTGCGGCAGCATTTCGTTTAAACTCAGCACCACAGCAACAACATCGGCAACAGCTACAGCTAATGCGACAACAATACCAACAGCAACTAAAACAACAACAAAACCAGCAGCAACAATTCTATGGAGCCAATTACTTTATGCAACAGGCAAAGCCACAAGTGCAAATGTTAAGGGCACCGCCAGTAATTAGTAGCAACAACAACTACAACAAGTATCATAAGCACATGCATAACAAAAACAAGCAGCACTACAACAATAATGACATTTATACCACCGCAACATCTGCTGAAGACAACGACACCGACGCGGACGAAGTTGAAGCTACAAATGACGGCGACAGTGTTGGTGACGACGATCACGACGACCACGACCATGACTACGACTTCGATGACGATGCAACGTTGTTCTTTTCCAGCCGCGCTCCAACGACCACCGCCCTCTCGCCCTCCTCCACAGCCTACAACAGCGCTAATGACTATGACGATGACGTGCAGCAATTCGATTACAATAGCCACAAGAACAACTACTTTGATGGAATTGAAGGTGACGTCAAGATAGGTGTTAATCCGGTTAGTTATCAGCCGACAACAGCCTATGGAGCATATGCGGTAATACCATCAACACCAGCAACTGCTACACAGCACAAAATTCGACCATATCGACAATCGCAACAGCAACAACATCGTTACACAGCAACACAGGCATTTGGCATTTTAGGTCATCAACAATTGCAGTCGCAGCAGCAACAACTCATCACCACAGCACAACCAATTAACGTCGTTGGTCCCACTGCAAGTGACTTTGATGTTCGGCAGACACCAACGCAACCGCAGCAGCAGCAGCATCACAAGTACCCAGTGTCACCACGCTACAAGAAACGCAAAAACCGCATCAAACGAAAGCTAAATCGAAATCGCATTCTGACGCAATAATTGCTTTTGCTGCGACGTCTAGATGCTTAGCGACAGCTTGAATTGTCACTGGTCAGTTGAATAACTTCATTTGCTACCGTGCTAACTACATCACTACAGAACAACAACAACATCCTCACAATGCTCACTTTAGCAGCTCGATCTTGTAGACGAATTGTACCGTTAGTCGTTATTAGTGTTGTGCTGTGATAATTGCAAATTCGCACGACTATTCCCATATTCCCTAGCTGCAGCTGAGTAAACATTGCATGTACAGGTGTGCTGGGAACAGAAGTAGCAGCAGCAATATACATTTTTAGATTGGTTAGCAAACCATAGGCAGGTTAAGTGGATTGACGGCCAGTCAGAAAGTTATCACATTTACGATTAGCTTAATTTATTAACATTCCCCTTTGAACTGTAGGCAATAATAGCGTTTCGCATGTTTAAAAGTAATATCACAAAAAAATGTCACATGAAAATACATTATGGTGTTTTATTGATTAGTGCCCGAGAACAGCGTCGTTGTTTGTTTGTTAAAAATTATAAGTAAAAATATTAAATTAAATTTTTTTTTTTGCTTAGCCGGTGTAAAATATGTAGATTATAAAAAAAAAAATTTTACGCACTTTTAAAGTAAATGTTGAGTTAAAGTTTTTATTTCGTAAAAAACTATTTTGATAAGTGTTCTAGAAGCTGTGGAGAGTCCTCTTCCTGACCAATTAAAAGTTATCAACATAAAAAAAATGTTTGAGGTTATTATTGGAGTTTAAAAAAAGTCTTAAACGACAACATGCTTTCCTTAAGCGTTAAAATAAATTTTGAGTCAAAAGTAATCAAATTCGGTAATTTTTATATAAATGTGAAGAGTTTAAACCAAAAAAATTTTTTGTCCAAAAAGAGTGGGCCGAAATGACAAAAAAAAACAAAAATGTCTCCAAACAGAGTGGGCCGAGATGTTAATAAATATCTTTTTTTTTGAAATTTTATCTTTTTTTAACCCAAAAATTTTACCCTAAAAAAAATCGCTCCACCTTAATGTATGTACATCTATTTTTCACATCAGCTTTAACGAATCAAACTAAAAAGTAGTAACATTAAGGTGTACGTTTAATATATAACATAAAGCTATAGTTCTTCAGTTACGTAAATCTTGAATGGAATAGAAAGAGTTAAAAAATTATTTATTGGCTTTTCGTCGAGTTCACTTCACTTCAAGTGTCTAATCAAAACAATTATGTATGAAAATTAGAAAAGCATTACAGCTCAATATGTAAGACAGAGTAGTAATTTCCAACCGCACGAAGTTTAAGTGGAATCAATATATATATTATATATGACTTCACAAGACTATTCAATCAAACATGTATTAAGTGACAGATCAACAATCGGTACTGACTTTTAAAACAAAGCATAAAACAGTCTGCATACAATTTGCGAAATATTTTTTTAAATAATTGCTCAGCTATTCTACGCCAATGCTGCAAAGAATCACTTAATTGAAACATTAAAATGTACAATAAATTGCAACCCGTGGATTTTCTTACGTAATTACGTAATGAAATTGTCACACAAATTCAATTAACCATCTCCCTCTCCACTGTGGCACATACATACATACTTGTACATATACGTATGGAGAGAAGCCAAACATATTGCTCGAGGACACGCATAGGAAAAAGAACACTGTCGTGAGCAATCCGAGTGAGAAGGATATAGAAATTCCATTTCACTCATACGACATCACTGCAATACGATACGTTTCAATTAATAACTTTAAGATTGCATAGGACGCTTATAAGCACTCCAATATTACATGGAGTTACATCCTTTCGATAAGAGAAATTGAAATGAATGAGTAAACGAATAAAAATATCCGCGTTCAGTGATATTAGGTTCATAAGTAATCTACCAATTATAACTAGAAACACGAAAGCGATAGTACACGACTGGTAAAAAAAAAAAAAACCAATCAGTAATAATCTGAATGTGACAGGCGTCGAAAGCAAAGAGCTCCGTGAACTATGCACTGTTACAATAGTTGCTAATTGCACGAAATAGTTGGGACCAAAAAGCTAAAAACTATATCGTACAGGTTGGTTGAAAAGTTTCCGCGCTCGAAATGAAAAAATACTGTTTTTGCTACGAAATATATTTTGCTATTCAATATAATATCCCTAACTTCAATATCCCTATAATGACTTTCCGAAAGCTCTGCAAAATATCCGTCCACGGCTGTAATAGCTTCTTTATTCGACGAAAAACGCTTTACACGAAAGAATTTTTTCAGGTTTCTGAAGAGGTAGTAGTCGCTGGGAGCCATTCAGTCCACTGTAAACGTTCTTGTTTCAATTTAGGATCTTGGTGGTAGATCCAAGTCTCATCCACAGTTATAAAACGATGCGAAAAATTCTGCTTAAAACGCTCCAAATCATTCTGAGAAATTTGTTTTCGATCCATTTTTTTTTTTTTGAATTGTTAACGTGTGCGACACTAACTTCCCAAACAGCTTTTTCATATGTAATTCTTAATTTATGTAAAATATGAAGTACTCGTTTGTCTGAGATGCCTATGGCATTAAATATTTCACGCTTAGTCAAACTGGGATCTTCACTAACAATATTATGAACTTGCTCAATGACTTCTGGTGTGGTTGCAGTTTTTGGTCGTCCTTCGCGTAGATAGAGAGCAACCAACTTTTCAACCAACCTATATATGTTGTAGATGTATTCTTCCCTCGTAAGCGAAATTTATGTCATATCATTAAACAAACTGAAAATATAGTTGTCGCATCAAAAGGTATGTGGCGGTGTGTCATAAAATGCAAACGTTAAGCATAAAAGCGACACAATAAAATTTTGATTGTTTAAGTCAAAGTTTTTAATTAAAAAAAAAAAAGCACACATTTAAGCAAATAATACAATAGCAAAATGCGACAAGCGCGCTTGTAGTAGCAGTGGTTAATTAGTTTGGCTGAAATAAAAAATGTTGCATACTTTTACGCGCGCAAACTATTACATGTATGTGTTTAAACTTTTTAATTAAATTAATTTCCAATATGTAGAGTAGAAGATACGTTTTTAAAGACAAAAATTAAAAGTTTTATAATTAAGAACGGAAATTCGTGGCATTAGTTCGAAGTTCTTCTGCTAAACCTCATATCATATAGCATTATATAAACTGCGGATTTTTTAGAAACCTCACTACGAAGCTATAACTCTGCTGCACCTGTGAAGGTTCATATTTTTTGGTATAAAAGAATATAAAATAATTTTTTGATGATTTTGATTCATCAGTTTGTATTGCAGCTATACGTTGTAGTTTTTCGATCTGTACAATATGTTCGGAGATGTCAGCGTCGTCTTGGACAACAATCCATGCCAAATTTCATGCATATATCTTGATAAATAAACGTGTTTTCCATACAAGCACCTTATCTTGAGCATTGAGTTAGTATGGCAACTATATGCAATAATGTTCCGATATCGGCGATTCCGACAAATTTCCAGTTCGCGTATACATAGACGGATAGACAAATGGACATGGCTAAATCGACATAGCTCGTAACGCTAATCATTTATATATACATACATATATTTTATAGTCTCTGCTATTTCCTTCTGCGTATTACAAACTAAAAATAGTAAATTTCAATATACCCTGTTAAGAGTTATAAAAAGGTTCGCAGTTATTTTTATTTGAATTAAGTAAATACTAATAAAATATTAACATTATTATGCAATGACGTCCATGCAACACATAAATCCCACCTTACGTAGCTGGATTACTAGGTATCGCTACACTTGACAACCAAGACAAGCCGTTTATCACTTGACGCTCAACTTACGTTAGCTGCCGCATAGCCGAGAGACACTGCCGCAACTGGAGCTGCGACTGTTGTAGGAGCAGGCGCTCTGGAGAATAAGTAATGCATAGCGTGTAGCTATGAGTTTTGGTGCCAGAGACAAGGAATTGCGTGGACGATGTGCGTGCTAACGTTAGGTTGGTCAACTACTTAATACCGCTAATTAATTAAATTAATGAATTGTATGCTTGTGCATTTTCGTACACACTCGCCACAGCCCCTTCCACAGAAGCCACAAAACATATACAACAATTGTCATTTATCTTCGTAGAGGGGTGTGCGTAGTAATATTTTTACCTTACAATTTTTTTTTTTGTTTTTTTTCTGTGAAACGATTTTTCAAAGCGCTTGCAACTCTTAGATATACAAAGGTATATATGCATATATACGGTCATGTATGCGACGCTAAACGGCGGTGATAAAAGTTACAAAATTTTAGCTGCGACTTTTTTCACTTTATTATGGCCACCACTGTTTTGCGTTGCACACTTTATGCGCTTAGATCACTGTTCGGAACGAGAAATATGAGGTAAATGGTGGGCGTGGCAATAACGGTGTCAAATTAGCTACTCAGCTGTCCATTTACACGTGGCAAACTACAAGAATATATATGTATATATAAAACGGCGGAAGCAAGTGATGAGCTGTCACAGCAAAGCCAAAAACAACAAATGAAGTGCTGGCAATGAAAAGTATCCACAGCATTTGATAGCAACAAATTGCAAATGGCGACAAATTATGCCAACACAGCATGACAAATTATTTTGACTGGCTTGCCAGCACAAACTGCATCACTACATACACACAACATACAGATACCAGAGCGAGGGAAGCTACAACAGGATGCTGCTGATGTTGCAGCTGTTAGTCAAGGCAAATGCGCTAACGTTGACGCTAGCGATGGCGTTGATACTGCCAATGTAAACGCGTTAATGGTATTTCAAGCCGCAGGAAGTTTTTGTTAGAGTCACACATCGTGCTTTGTTTTTGTTTTTCGTACGAATATGCGATACACTGCCGACGCCATTGCTGACACCATTGTCATGTTGTTATATGCCACAAACTGTGCGGTTATGTTGTCATCATCCACTATTTTATGCACGAAAACAAAAAAAAAAAAATAAAAATATCGGTGTGTGTGTGTGTCTGGCTTTATGGGTGCGACCATGGTGTGCGGTGCGTGGCGACAGCGCATTAATTTCATAAGAGAAATTAATTTCGTTACATAAGCACGTACATACACACACACACACACATACACATATATACTATGTGAATTTAAAATTAAAATTCTTCATACTGATATCTGCTTTGTTTTCGCAATTTCACTCCCTTACGTTGTGAGATAAAATTAATTTCCGGTTTGCATCAGCCACCACCATTGAAATGAGCAGTAACGCTTATAATATTGCTGAATCCTAGACGGCACGAGTCATATCCCAAGCAACAGATATCCAGCTGATTTTTGACTATCGGCTAACCTCAGTAGAATATAAGCGTTCTTGGGGGTACTTTATGGAGCAGCTAATGATAATTTATTTTCAATAAATACTCATACTGGATATATTGATACCCTAGTCAATTATATACAATACATTCCCCATAATTTAAAACTAGTATA